TACTAATTAATTACTTCTGCGGAATGTAACACGAACTCATATAATTAAATTAAATCATTCGGAAATTATTACAAAATGAAAATAGAATAAAATAAAATTAAAAATAAATAATAGATAAAATAAATAACTAAAAATAAATATGAATACTAAAAATAATAAAGAAATAAAATAAACAATATAAATAATATAAAAATAATATATAAATTATTACTCCGGATTTTCGGGGTCATTGATCAGCGAATTAAGGTCCAATTCGTATTCCGGTGACACTTGTTGTTTTTCTTTTAGGATGTTTGTCATGATTTTCTTGATTGTTCCTTATTTTATTTATTCTTTTAATATACTTATATCCTTAGGGTATGTTAAGTATATAATTATTTTAGTACTTTTTTACTTTAAATGTGGAAAAAAGCTAACAATATTTGTCAAAAGATTAAACTTATTAAAACTTAATGACAGTAAGAAGTCATAGAAGAGATTTTATTCTAAATATTCTATTCATTGCCAGTATATATTGGTCTTGGACAAGTAATATCTTTGTATTCATCTTTCACAAATGGGCAAATATTCTGGTAAAGATATTCTTGCCTTTTGTAATCTAAAGGTGGTGGTGTTAATACTAAAATGGATGAAGCTCTAATTTCTTCCAAAATATCTGCTTTCTTGGTTTTCAATAAATTGAATTCAGCAAAAGGTCCATTAGCAATTCTTTTTTTTGAACATTAGTAAGAGTAACCAATTTTCTTCCTTTTTTGCTTCTGAATTTACTAGATGTTTTTTCCAGACGATATTTATCTATGAACGAAAAGATTTCCTGAGCTTTGACCACACCAAAATTAATTGCTTCAAAAAGAAAATGTTGACATTTTTATATACTTGGTAGTTTCTTAAAATAAATTCCCAAAATAGCTTTAATATCTAAGTATTGAAAACCTTTTCCACCTTCATAACATTGAGATTTATTCAATCCTGCTGGAGTAGACTTTTTTATTATCTCAACCACATGATCCAGACAATCTACTCTTGTTCTTCTGTAGATTTTTTTAATCAATCCAAAACTACCATCACATTTAAATTTAGTGTGTCCAGCAATCATGAAATTCAATTCAACACTTTCATAATAACCACAAATTACCAAATATAAATAAAATCAAATAGTTACATTATTTTTATTTTGTCCACCAGCATTATCACAAGTAATCTTTAAATGCTTTTCACCTTTATTCAATTTCTT